TTTTGTCAAAGATGGTCAAATTGACCAAATTGGACCAAGGCGTAGTTGAACAAAATGAAATTGGGAATATTTTAGATTTATTGGGATTTTTTAGGAATTTTTTTGAATTTTTGGATTTTGGGTCATGGAGGGGTATCTTGGTAATTTGGTCATTTTTGGAAATTTTGACAAATTTGGATGTATTCAAGGTGTTTGAAATGGGTTTTGATCAATTTTGGGTAATTTGGCAAAATTTGGGAATTTTAGCCAAATTTGGGTCCCAAGGGTAGTTAGGTAATTTGGAGGTGCCTCGGGGCAAAAGACCAAGTTAGGCATTTCACATAGAATTGGATAGATATCCGTTCTAAATAAACCATGGATTAATGTATTGTGAAGATATGGTGTACCCTAGTTTCAAGTCAACACACAGGGTCAATCATAAAGCCAAGTAATCCTATAGGGACTCTTCTTGAATTCTCTTATAATGATCTTATCTGCTAAATGCTAGAGGTTAAGATCATTATGTGGAATTTCAAGTTGAGTAAAAAGAAAAGTTTTGAATTTCTAATTGTGGGGGTACCTTTTCTAATTTTCTAAGACAAGTCAATAAGAAAGTCCTATGGCTAGACCTAGGCTACTAAAGAAGTTTCTAGACCTCAATCAAAAGTGAGGTCAACATCAGGCCTAGTCAAAAAATCCAATTCATAATCAAGTTATAGGGTGTTGTATCTATTTGGAGAAGATGAGTGATAAAGTTTTAAATGAGTCAATAAAATAAGACATGCAACAACAGCTTAAAAATAATAATTAGGCTACAAAACCCTTTAGTGGTGATTAGCGTCGATCGAAAGTAGTTGTGAACTTCACACTTTATTCAAGGGTGTGAACCTAGCCCTTCGTTCAACTCGCCTTCATTTTAAGAATGGGGTTCTATTTATAAAGTTTTGAGAGGGGCCTTTTGGTAAATTAGCCAAAATCCCTTAACACTCAATCATACAATCTATGTCGATTTTCTTAAACAGATATCATTTTTTTTTAATATTTAAGTGTCTTAATGACCTCAAAATTGAGTGATAGTGAGCTCGTTGAATTTCTCTCATCGAGACACTTGATTTTACTATAAGTATTTCAAATTTGGAGATCATTTTAACTTTTTATTTTGAATACTCAAAACATCCAAAAGTAGTTTTGAGTGTCTTTTAAAAAAAACTAATCATAATATACTTAATAAACATGTTTTATTTCAAGTAAAATATAAATAAAATAAAATCAAAAGTGATCCAAATGATCCCAAAGCTCTCTTTCTTTCTCCTTCTTAGTACCAACATATCAAGTAATTTTCTTTTAGTTTTTGGTCTAGGTCAGTACATGAAATACAACAATATAGACTGGAAGATCAACATCCAATAGTGAGCAAGTAAATTTCTCTTTATTCTTACCTATGATTAATATAAAGAGATTTATTTTCATACAACTTAATTCTTATGTATTTACATATCTAATTCTAACAAAAAAAATAAATTTGCTTGCATCCCATCTTAATCTCTAAAAGACATAAAAAACGACACAAACATTAACCAATTTTAAGTGAAATACATAATTTCATGCCTTTGATGTGATGTAGACACTAGAGGGTCAGAAACGTAAATATAAAAATTTAGATACTAGATATATATATATATAAATTATTTCAACATATTTTGGTACAGTCTCTGATTTAGTGGTCTCCTCTTCCCAGCGTACCTTGCAAGCCACAACCAGGTCTTGATAAGACCAAAGACAAAGCAAACTATTTGCTTGAAAACATGGAAGCTCTCTGAATATATTAATAGAAGATATCACTTTCTTCATTTAATTCAGCTTAACTTGCTTGGATGGAAATCACCTTTTTTTTCTAATCATATCTCCTTGAACCGATGTATCACTCTTATTTAATTCAAAATTATGTATGGCTAACATTAAAATTTTACAAACAGGAATAGCTAACAATAATAAAAATGAAAAAGCCTATATCTAGTCTTGGAGTGAATAATGTTTGCTTCGTACAAATATAGAGTTCTTGTGATAGTAAATCTGTCGAGTAGCTCTTATCTGATGTAAAATTATATTGTAATATTGACATACTATTTTATAGGTCTTCGTTTGGGGCTGCGTATTCAGTTATTTGGCACGGTGCAGCCTCAAGCCACATAAATTCTTTTTTTTTTTTTTTGGATTTTGTGTTTCGCGGACACCCGCCAGTATTTTCGACAGAATACTGGCAGCAGATTCGACCCCCGACCCGCATTTTCGACGAATTAATTCCTCAATTTCCCCGCGCGGATTCTCGTCTCTTATGCCCTAGCAACTCGTGAAGCTGACCCCGTGCTCCCTCGACTCTTCCGCCCTAACGTCTTGCGAAGCCGGCCGCTACTCCCCTAGCGTCTCACAAAGTCCCCCGTGCTCCCTGGACTATTATGTCCAACGTTGCTCTCTCCGCCAACTTCCCCAAGGTGATTTCAGTGCTTCGTGGATTCCTTTGTTTGTAACTTTATGCAATTATATGCTTCTTGTGTTCATTTTTTATGTCATTTGGCTTGATAAACACACAAAATACAAATAATACATGATTGATTATTTCCCTTCCGTTTCTTCTATTTGTAAAGCTTTCCTCTTCAAACAACCTTTTGTTCGTCTAGCTACTAAATGCATTTTTCTAGAGACTTTTGGCAATCAAATATATGATTATGACAGTTATATTATAAAGAGTAATACTAAATATGAGCAGTTTGATCAATTGTCCAAAAATAACTGTCACGGTTATTTTCAAACAGTTGAAACAAACAATCAATCATCTTCCCAACAGCAATTTTCCCACAACTATTTTCTGATGAAACTAAGTTGCGACTGACAAGCTGATAAAATTATTTCTTTTGTTAAAATTGTAATGCTTAAAAAACATATTGGCATTGTGATTTGTGAAATCAAATGAACCGTTAGATTGATTTAACCAGGATTTAACAATTGTTCAGAAAATATATTTAAGGAAGATTTACGCATACCACTAAATTCTTATGTTTTTTTCATATCTAATACCTAAACTTCAAATCTTACATGTCAGCTTATCCATACATAAAAAGGTGTATGTCATTCTTTTATAAGAAAAACCACATTGTGCTGTGCATAATAAATGCTCATCAAATCTCATATCTTATGGGCATAAATAAAGCCTCATATGTATTTATATGAACGTATCATACATAAAAGGATCGCCCTTTCATTATGTTGCACAACTAGCAATATTTATATATATGTATATTTACTGGAACCATAATTATCAGAGATTCCAATTGATGATTTCATTCAGTTCAAGCGTCGGCCTCTCCACTATATATCTTCGAGCTTGGCTGCAATAATTGAAGAGAAATAAACAAGAAGAGATTAGCAAGAACACAAGAGAAAGAGAGAGATCGATAGAGAGTGATTTTGTTGATTTCTGTACAATTTTTACCTCCTGATGCGTTGTGAAGTCTGCCAAGTTAATCTGGGTCCTTCATCATACCCCTCACAGATTAATTCTCCATTCTTATCTCTGTAGCAAATTACACCACTCTCCTTGTCTTCAAATACCTGCTAGTCTGAAATTTTGATTAATCATCCCATGCCATAAATCTACAATTTTTCTTTTTGACTTTTGCTTTAGGAAGAAGAAGCAGCACTCACCTTGTTGAGTTTGGCGAATTTCTTCAATGAAATTGCTGCAGTTTCGAGCTCTGCCTGGCCATGCCTGAGTATTTGGGCTCTGGTTTTCGGCTTGGAACTGCTGTTGGCCTTCACTGGAATGGTTAAAGCGAGAAATGAAAATCTAATTGCCATGAAATGATTCTAATGATTTTCTCTGATTTTTTTTTTTTTCAGGGAGAGAAAGGGGAGAGAGGCTTGTAGGATACAAGGGGTGTTATAAGTTTGTAAGAAGATACAGAAATCCTATTTGAAAATAATTTATTATAAAAAATTTTAGAAAATTTGCAAGAATACCACACTATTTCTATGTATTTACATATCAGCGCTTAAAGCTTGATAATAGCAGTTCGGTGTGATTTATGCATGAAAATGTGTGTTATGCATAAATTTAAAAATAGTTTTATGTGTAATATTAAATATTTGAGTGTTATGAATATAAATATGAATCTTTAGTTGTTAGACCTGTAAAGTCATAAGAATTGGCCCCAAAAAGATTATAAATTATATCTGATCACAGTTTATTGTTATAATAAATTTATACTTGTTTTTGTTGATACTAGTTTATATAAATGGAATTTACTATGGAAGAAATTTTTATAGCAAAGGATTTCTCAATAATATTTCTGTCCAGTAGGAATTTAATATGGAAGTTGGATGTTCTCTTCTGTTATTTTTTTATAGATTTATGAGGCAAGCTTGTTTCATCAAGTCACAGTTTGGCGGATTAGGTTTATATTTTAGTGGTCTTTGTTTCGTGGAAGGCACTATAACTTGTATATACCTGTAATCTTATATATGGAGATCATTTTCCTTTTATCATATATATATATATAGGAATTAAATTGCATGTATAGTTGTTTTAGGTGATGTAAGCCTGTGCACATTATTTATTACAAGATAATGTTGCTAACGATTAATTATTTCAAACGGATGGCGATGTTAGCTTTTGTCACAAAAGTTTAGCAAGCGACTAATAATAAGTTCCTTGCAGCATTAATGAAGCGTGATAGAAAGAGACATTTTCTGAAATTATACATTATAACTAGGGCTGTCAATTTGGCTCGTTGTTCGCGAACAGCTCGTGTTCGGCTCGTTAACCAACTCGTGTTCGAGTCGTTCGTTAAGCCTAATGAGCCGAACACGAACAAATTTTTAAGCTCGAAATGTAAACGAGCCGAACACGAATAACAATTTGTTCGCTCGTGTTCGGCTCGAAATGACTCGAAAAAAAATTATATAACTTTTAATATAACAATATATTATATATATTATTTATATAATAATATATTATATATATTTATGTCTAAATTTAAATCATAACACCTCATGTGACAATGTGGTTATTGTCTTCTATTGTATAGATTTGATCCAAGTTCGAATCTCACACTTTATATCTATTTTTCTCAATTTTAGTTTAATGAGCCAATTTCGAGCTGAACACGAACACACTGTTCACGAGCCTATTTCGAACACGAGCTGATTTCGAACACGAGCTATTTCGAACGAGCCGAACACGAGCCAAGCCTGAGCTCGCTCAAGCTCGGCTCGTTTACAGCCCTAATTATAACCCCAAGTAGATTATTACAAATTGTAGGAATCGGGAATTCAGAGGGATACTTTATTGATATTGATATGAGAATGGGATATAAATAAATCTTAAATGAGTCGTCAAATAGGACAAACATGAAAAAGAAAATAACATGAAAGGAAAAAAACATAATTCCTCATAATTATTTGAAGATAATAGAAAAATATAAAATAGGAAGGACAATAAATTTAATCCTTCTGACAAACATTTCATTAAATACATATCTATTTGCGGTTCAAATCTAAGCTTTCATATTTACATGAACACTTTGGTCTTTTAAATTTATACATAAAAATTCAAATGGTGCTAATAGCGCATAAGATAATTAATGTAATATTAAAGCTTCAAGTGTTATTTGTGTAAATACGAATACTTAAGAGTGACATATGTAAATACATTAGAACTGTGCTATGTATGTAATTGTTTATATATATATATATATATATATATATATATATATATAT